CATTATGTACACAATCAGCAACTGAAATCAAGGCGAGTGTTTTATTAGTTAATACTTACAGCTGAATAGGTATCCCAATGCAAGTAACTAACGCATTTTGCTCACGAGCAGAAATGCACGATTTGCATTTTTTATTTTTTAATCAACATTAGGTTCCGATTGGTTTGTGTTGGCTTGTAGATACTACTAATTCTTAGGACCTTTTAAAATAATACAATTACAAATAATTGACTTTTGCAAACATCGGGGCGTTCGCTCTCTTAGAGGTCAACATAAAAACAAATATAAAAATATAGTCGAACCTCGCTTATCCCGACACTTGCGTTTTCTGAAACATTGTCTGGATAAACGAGTTTCCGGGTAACTGACTCTCTTCTTAACTGACCAGAATTCCCACCCGTGCCCATATTCATCCGAGACATATGTGAAATTAATATCAAAAGTATGACTTATGAAGGAACGACTGATTTTAAAAAAATAAAATATAGTGTGGCGTTCTGACCATCACGGCATGCTGTGACAACGCACTTTATTCTTTAAACAGCTAAATGCATATTTAGCCAAGTTTAGATAAGACAATAAAATGGGTGTTAAAACCTGGGAATGGTAAATGTGACAACACAGTTTACATTCCTATATATCACGAGTACCACACGTGACACATACATAGAATGCTATAATTCTTCTTCTTCTTATTATTATTATTATTATTATTATTCATTTAACTAAAACAAGGGTGTGCACACAATGCCATTTAGAAAGTGGTCAAATGTAACAATGTCATATTTGGGATGACACTTTATAAGTCAAGTACAGATTTTAGTACTTTTGGGGGTTGAGTCCCCTCCGGAAAAATACATTATGTGCTCGCGAACCTTTCCCTCGAAATTCTCTATAAAAAAAGAACATTATAAAAAGAATAATGCAACATTTATGTTCTAATAAATCACAAACATAAAATAGAAAGTGGACTGTTGGCAAAGGCTTCGTGGTTAGCGATTCTGAGCCAGTGTGACAACCAAAATCGACCATACAAAACACGATATATGATATTTAATGGCGAAAAGATATTTTTTTCTCTCAAAACCCAAGTGATTCTAACTAGTGTATTTTTCAATGGTATATTCCGTTGAATATTGCGTAACAAAAGCAATAACACATTGCATGTTCACTATATGTTCCCTAAAATACATTTACTAAAATTTAGCATGTAAAAACTTGAATGCAGTTCGAATTTAAGCTGCCGTATGGCTCGAATCTCTAACAGACGGACACATGGCATGGCGATTATACATACCAAAACATTCACATTCACGTGTTTGCTCCGCCCGGAGAGCGGGTTCGATCCCCGACCGCGTCATACCAAAAGACGTTTAAAGAAGGTACTTGTTGTTCCCCTGTCTGGAGCTCGGCATTAAGGGGTTAAAGCAAGGACTGGTCGGCTCGGAGTCAGTATACTGTGTCTGAGTGGGGTATTCATGTTAAACTGCGGCATGGTATCTCAGTGGGCTAGCACTATAAATCGGCATCAGTCCGGTCTGGTACAAGCAGCCACACATACACACGTGCATGCACGTCACTTTATAAGTGCAGTAATCTTGGACGCGACGTTGAACCCAGTTTCACCTCACCTGATGAAATATGCATTCGCTCCACAAGTTTAATGTAAATGTAACATTGGGGACTCGATAAACTACACATCCTCAAATCCATCCCTAATTTTAAGAACCGCCTCCGTGGTCTAGTAGTAGAGCGTCTGCCCGGAGACCGGAAGGTCCGGGGTTCGATCCGCGGCCGCGTCATACCCAAAGACGTTCAAAGATGGTACTTGTTGTTAACCTGTCTGGCGCTCGGCATTAAGGGACTAAAACAAGGACTTGTCGTCTCAGAGTCAGTATACTGTGTCTGAGTGGGATATTCATGTTATCTCAGTAGGTTAGCACTATAGATCGGCATCAGTCCGGACAAGCAGCCACACAAACACACACACGTACATGCACGTCGCTTTATAAGTGCAATAATCTTGGACGCGACGTTAAACCCAATTTCACCTCACCTCATCTCACGTGTTTGTTGCATGTTATGTGTATGTTTTAATTGTTTTGAAATTAACATCATATGTTAAATCTGTCTCCGTATTGTCACCATATAGGGGCATTATTTACAAGTAATTACTTCCGAATCACAATGTAAACAAACTTCGTCGGCTTAACAATCGTCAGGATTTATCTTCCTTTATCTGTACGGTGACCCATTCGCGCCATACGTTTTCAACACTATATTGCACGTTTTCATCGCAAAATTCACTATATTCCCCTCTTTAGATTTTTCTAGACGTTTAGAATGTGTAACGTACATATATGCTGATTGAATTTCATAAGAAATTGTTTCTGTTGCAATTAGCTGGGGTTAAAACTGTAGATTGACTGGACTAGCTTACTGCAAAAATATAAAGTTAGAACGCGGCTGAATATTTAGACGAACGCTTAGTCTCTGAAAATATAGTATTTGGATGGAAATAAGCAACTACAGTTAAATTGAAAAGGAGCCCCAGCGCGTTTGGAGATTCAGAACCTGTGGAAATTCTAGACTTGCTTCATTTGGGTTATAACATTACAATGAAGGCTTGGAGGAAGGGGAAATAATATGGTTCAGGCTCTGGACCAATAGCTTTGTAATGTGGGTCACATGTAGGGCAATGTTATTCCAATAATGTACAGCTGCTGAACAAAAGTTTGTTACATTGCTATGTTTACATGGCTATGAAGACTTTATACACATATTACAAGGTTATTAATACTTTTATTGTAGCGCTATTTGGTATCAGAAGAAAGTACATTCAATAAGGAGTATTACCCCCTTTTGCTTTTCGTAGTGCCTTTATTCGTTTAGGCATCGATTCCAAGAGACCACGACAGGTATCTTTTGAGACAGAATACCAAAATTTCTTTACCAAATTCCAGAGCTCCTTGCTTGATGTAGGCATTTCCCTAGCAACTCTCTTGCCAATAATGTCCCAGAGAGTCTCAATAGGGCTCATGTCAGGGGAATTACCAGGCCATTCCAATAATGGTATGTTTCTGGCAGCCAAAAACACACGAGTGCTCTTGGAAAAATGGGCAGGGGCTTTATCTTGCTGAAATAGGAATGTTTTACTCGGAAATACAAGGCATTCACACTGTGTTTTGAGGTCATTGATGATCTCAGTCTGATATTTCTGGGAATTAAGAGTACCATGCACCTTTTTAAGAATACCGGTACTATTTGCTGACATGAGTCCCCAAACATGAACCTGGGGTGGGTGTTTTACGGTCACCTGTGAACAATAACTGCGGTATCTCTCATTTTGGAGACGCCTTACTTTCATCCTACGCCTATTACTAAAACATCTGAAAATAGATTCATCGGAGAAAAGTACACGGTTCCAATCTGCCACTCTGAAATGTGCGTGTGCTCTTGCCCAGTCCCGTCTCAGTTTTCTCTGCCTTGCATTCAGAAGGGGTTTTCTACAAGGGACGTAACATTTCAACCCAAATTGTTGTAGACGTCTTGAGATTGTCATGTGACTGATCCGCAAACCAACACTTTTCCGCACAATACCCCTCAAAATGTTGAGAGTTGAGAATCTGTTTATCATACACTGTTTGCGTATCAATCTGTCTTCTCTTTCTGTTGTGCATCTTGGTCTGCCAGACCTGGGTGCATCAATAACATCTCCTGTGGCATCAAATTTTTTCATCAACTTTATCATACCATGTATTGTGACACTGCAATTGTATTTTTCGGCCATCACTTTCTGAACTTCCTTCCATTTCAGTCCAGTGTGCCTGAGGGTGACAATCCGGGTTCTTTCACTAAAAGTTAAATTTCTTTGCTTTGTCATATTTGCGGCAGCAGATATTGAAAAAATCCGTTATCTAAGACAATTCTGCAAAAGAAAACAGATAAAATCTTTTTTGGTAATGCCAATTTTTAATGGCACCGGACATCAAGTCATGAAACCCTTTGTACAGTGTAGGAATTTTGTAAGTATCTTTATATTAGATTCCAAATTGAGTATATTACATTTAAAAGCAATTAATGTTTCGAATAATTATGCAGTTTAGTTGTTTCTTAAACATTAGAAAGTACATGTTCAAAAAGAATGTACTCACCGAGACAGACTGGCGATACCTGTAGAAATTACCTCCGCAACTTGAGCAGTAATTGTAATGCATCCATAATCTAACTCAATGTTCTGCATAATACCAACATTTGTTTTGCCTTATTTGCATGAAAAATGTGTGGACTATCTTATTTTGACAAGAAAGGACCATCTTTCATACTTTTGGGGGAAACGAATGCAACAACTGTTACGAAATTTGTGAATGTAACAAACTTTTGTTCAGCAGCTGTACTCATGTACACACTTTACACAGCAGTATTGCTCAAACTGCATATACCTTGAGATTTACATAGGCGCCTGGGTTTAGTTGGGTCTCGAGTACTTGGCTGTGCTCTGAGACGGACAGAAGAATCGTGACAGTACTTTATAGGGATACCCAGACACAGTTACTGCGCCTCGCCATTTGTTCTCACAAACGTACATTTTAATCCCGCGAAACTACTATGACTCGTCCTTCATGTCAGAAGAAAGTCTTTGAGAATTCATACAAGAGAATTTCAATAACAACAACACACACGTCACTGTATATAAATCAATCATTTTGATACCTACAAGTGTGTGTGCGCGCGTGTGTGTGTGGTGTGTGTGTGGTGTGTGTCGGAATTTACTGCTTAACACCTATAAATAATGTCAATAATCTGGACCAGGCAACCCAGTGTTCGATACTGTGGGCAACGACCAAAGCCATTCTTGTAGGAAGAGACGCAATCACCATCCTGACCGAGCCTGGCCACCCAATCCACCTAGTCGCCTCGCACGCGTGTTAGGGACTTATAATAGCACGGAATCCCCACAGGGCGAATTCCAATAAACCAAGTACAATTCAAATATAGTTAACAAAATTTATTTCATGGTAACATTAACAATTGCTTTATTATTTATGATGCAAATAAAGGCATGTAAGGGTGACATTCAAAATTTCATCGTTGTATTGTATGTATAAAAATAAATATAAATGTATGATCAATGATGCAAGAGACATGAAGCTTTGTTAAATATATATATCATGTCACACAAATGTCAGAAACAACAGAAAACAACAGAAAGAAAAATGTTATTGCCATGTTAACAGTCACTATCATGAAAGACTTGCATACAAACAAATAACTATTCCAAGATCAATATCAATATCAACATATATTCTTCCACCTCAGGACACATAAACATATATCAATGAGCAATGCTAAGTACTTATGATATCACAGTAGTAAAAACAATAACAACCAAAATAAATAAACGAGTACATGTGAATTTACAAGACTCAGATACCACAGAACTATAACAATCGATCAATACACATAGGGTAAAATGCTATTTTGGCACAAATGTGATCTAAATGTAAACATTTTCATGTTCTACAAGTCCAGCAACAAACACATTTTTTGAAGTGTAAGATCAATGACAACATAAATTGGATAATTTCATCTTTGACTTGAATTTGTGAGAACTTCGGGTGATTCAAAGTGTCCATTAAAAATAATGTGTCCTTGAAAAAGCACCAGGGGTGTAAATATTCCCCTGTGCTGGTCCTCAACGATTAGAGCACTTTCATCACCACACTTCATGTCATTGACTCATTAGGACCGACCATTTGATATTAATTAATTAGAACTATGAGCCAAATATATTTGTTCTGAAAACACATTGCAACAATGCAATTTTTGAGGCAGACAATTACCTTTTCCCCAACAATATGAAGCATGATTATTTTTTTAAGAAGTTTCGTGGACAGATTCTGTTTTTCGATACAATCTCAGCATTACTTCTGCACGTATGTGTTCAGTTCAGTCCATGAATAAGTGTCCCGGGCCCAAGAGAACAAGACAAGACGAAACAATTGTGTCTAGAAGTAGCTCCTGACACACCCTGTAATGGGCGTCCGGCAGATCGGACAGTCGGACATGGCCATAGAGCAGGGACCACAACACGCCAGGTGACCACATGGCAGGAACGTCACCCTCAGCTGATTCTCCATACAGACTTTACACAGATACCGCTCTCTCATGTGAACATTCTCGTCTTGAACCGTTCTCATGAGGTCAACATTTTGTGTCATATCCGATGGTGTTTGACTTGAAATCTGGTTCCTGTCAGATGTTGAATGACTGTTGATGTCTTCATGGCGTAATTTACGTCTGTTTGGCGTTGTACTTCCGGTGCCATATGCGTTATTTGTTGTAATTCCTGTTCTTTCTCCTATTTCAAGAACAGCAATGGCGAGCTCTTGTGCGGAAACTGAATCACAACATCGTTCTGTGTGCCACTTGTGTACAACAGTTCTCACGAGGTCTGACGTAAATCCCATCTGGAGAACGGCCTGAACAGCATCACTCATCATGAGTTGTGTTACTTCGTCAACTTCCGATTCAGAAGAATGTAATTTAAAGATAGTTTCCGTCTTGTTCCCAGTACTGAAAATATACAAAATATATATTATATTACAAAATATCAGATCTAACATTTCCAATTAATGGGTCATCTTTTATTTAATATTTATAATGAATTATATATATTTACAAATAAATAGCAAATAAATAATTACGATATCGATGTTTGTAATAAATCATGCATATAATTTGATGTATATCAACATACCTCTTGTGTGGGTGGCTCTGAAGGTCATCGGTATCGTTCCCTTTACACAGCTTTACATAGGGGCAAGTCGGGAAACACTTTGCACGCTCAATCCAGGGGTCGTCTCCACAGGCCCAGTTGTATACTTTCCCTCGACAATAGGCACACATCACACGGTCTGGCTTCTCCTCGCATGGTGTATGGTAGAACCCTGCTCGTGCAAGGGCTTCCGGGGTTTGAGACACATTTCGCGGCCATCTTGAAAATGATTTTAACCTGTTGGCCTCTCGTGTATAGTCACAGGAGCCTGTAGTCTGGGTAGCTTCTTGGGTTGCCTGTGGAACAGATGTCCAGGTCTGGACTTTTTCTTCTATCGGTATGTTACCAACATCATTCCCCTGAATGAAGTTACAGTGAGGAAAATGCGTCCTATGTTCTTGTAGGGGACTATCACCAGCTTGCCATTTTTTTAAAACACCAAAACAAAAGGGGCACTCAACCCTATCCTCTCTTCCTGTGTAATACAATCCAGCTTTAGCCAAACTAGCTGGACTCTGGGTTGCCCATGTTGGCCAGTATTTGAACGAGTTTAGTCTATTTATTTCTGATTCCATGCGAGATGCCTCCGCCATTGCTCGGGAGGCTTCATTAAGATAGCTTATATGGTGTAAGGCACAAGCAGGAGCATATATATACCCTTGATGGATTTCACAAGGCCTTGAAATCACAGCAGTCATCTTTGCTTAGTAAATGCTATATAAAGTGATATTTGTAACCGCACGACCTGTAGCTGATTGATTTTGTCACTCAATCGACTGCCTATATAGGCGAGGATAAAGCGTGTTTACCCAATGCTATAAATAGACGATCGACGTCACACTGGAGTTTCCGCTATTTATTACAAAATACCAGCTCTTGATACACTATTCGTAATTACTTCAAGATCATGTGTTTTTGTCAAAGAAATAGCACCGTAAAAACACCCACAATATCACTTTGATAATCAGTGTCAGCGATAACCTACAAATAGCGATTGTCTGTTGCAGACAGATCGCTCGGCTTCATGTCGCTATTTATAGCATATATGAATGAACCTTCATGTCCATGTATGTATGCTTAATTCTGGTGAATGGATTAGCGTAACTAGTAGTGGGCTGTTATATTGATAGTATCGTACCGATGTCAGTTGAAAATGATACTTGGAAACCCTCATGAGACACATGTTGGTTGTAGATCTACCTATACATCGTCAATGTGACCTAGTGATAGTCCAACGTGTCAACGTGTCGTGTCAATGAATGTGCAACATGGGTCTGTGACGTAATGATTGTGAAACACACCGGTGCAGTCCGTCCACATATAATATCTTCGCATTCCGGGGGGGCACGGGCGGCCCAGTCGTGTAAGGCGTTAAACCCAACTCACTCACTCACTATTCGCATTCCACGTCTCACCAAAACTGTTACATCATTTGTTACATGAACATGTGTTCCAATGTGTTCCAATGCTCCTGGAGTGTAAAGCACATTTGGAATAGTCTCCCTATAATAGATATTCTTTTTCTAAATGTAAGCAATGGACCAATTTATCCGTCAAAGAAAACCAAATAAATTTCAAACATTTAAATTTATTTGAAATATGTCAACACAGTATAAATATTGCCATTTTTAATGCACGTTGTTTGGATCGATAACATCATACATACACGTACGTCTTCAAACTTTGAATATTTACAAGAATTCTAATGATCTCAGTGACAAAAAACAAAATTTGAATATATGGTAAGGCATATACTTCCATATATGATTAGTCTAGTATTACGAATAGACAGTCATGGCGGTTGGGATGCGTACTGAATATATATGTGACCGAATTCATTTTTTTAGTTTCATGTAGAAAACGTATAATCGAGGATAGAAGAGGCCCTATTACGCTGAGATGGGAATAAACAATACCCGTTTACTTCCTTGATCTAACAGATCATATGTACCCGAAGTCGCACTTAACGAAATCTGCTCCTCGGTTTTGCAAATTAAAATCGAAGCTGTGTCTGACCTGCAAATATCTATACAATAGTATGCTTTGTAATCAATGAACGATGAAATGAACTGACGTCGATGTGTTTCAATCTTAATATGTTGTCTGCTAACCGTATAAAGGGAAGTAACTGCACCCAATAACGTTTGGCGAGACTATTGGTATAATTAGAGAAAGACTAATTTAATTAATCAGGAAATAATTAAATAGCTTCTAGTAACCTGCCATTACCCCCGGAGCGAATGAATCTAGATGATGTACCATTGTTTCATGTCCCGTAGTGTAAAGTAAGCATTACCCGTTATCGCGAGGTATATTAGGTTCGTGTGAAAGAATGTGAAACCAGTTTCTTTAAATTCAGCCAACCCATTGTCATAATACCATTACTGATTCTCCTCTATGTTTTACTTACCAACTCCCTTCCAGTGAATTATCCATCTGAGTGAGAGAGTGAGTATGGTTTTACGCCGCTTTTAGCAATATTCCAGCAATATCACGGCGGGGGACACCAGAAATGGGCTTCACACATTGTACCCATGTCGGGAATCGAACCCGGGTCTTCGGCGTGACGAGCGAACGCTTTAACCACTAGGCTACTCGACCGCCCCTATCCATCTGAACTAGAAACATAGATATATATCAAAGAAGAGACCAGTGAAACTGCCTCATCTGTTTCTTATTTAGATGCATGCATCCAGATTCATAGTGACAATGAGGAATCCCAGAACTGTATGACAAGCGGGATGTGTTCAACTTTGCAATGGTCCATTTTCTCTTTATGTCGAGCAATATACCAGCAGCAGCATCCTTGGTGTCTCCATTTCACAACTTTTCAGGTGCAATCGAGCATGCTCTTTGTACCCAGATTTCAAAGACCGTCATTCGACTATGGCTCAAAAACTTTTAATCAGGTTTACAATATCCACGGCCTTGCACCACATTTGTCAAAAGGGGGTATGGTGGACACGTTGAGGATATTTCCACATTTGACGCATAAGTGACCAAAGTTATGTCCGATTTCTCTATTTTGCCCCTATGTACCCGTGTTTGTTCAGGTGAACTTGCATGTGTTCGCATTGGTTTGGCCAGGGTATGCACATCTTTTCTGGAACACCCGGTATTAACCGACAGTAATTTACATACAATACATGCTTACATAGTCGAAATCGTACAACGGTGATGGCTTATGATTATGGAAGAGTTTGTTACTTGTGCTGAAATTTACACGTCAGATCATATATCGTAGCACTAGTTAAAGTTTGTGTCAGTAAGTCCGGACCGTTATGTCTGGCCATTGTAAGCAATACCTGCTTGTATGCAAAAGTCTGTTTGAACCTACTCAATACCAGGACTATTCGAGCAAACGACAACTATAATATGCAGAAACGTATGCATTTCGCAGGTTGGGTCACGCACTACGTACATACGTCACAAGGCTACGTTACAGAAATTCCTGTCATGATCGTGGATGGTGGCGAAGAGCTTAAGTTCCATTACTAATTATATTGCACAACAAACTGATAACGTTCCGAGTGTAAAGATGCATTAAGTAGGTAATAATGATCATACGACTCTTGCTCAAAAGTTGTTTAGCAACGTTACAACGTTCAAGGCGTCAGTGAAGCTTTCAAGGGTTGTTTGGTAGAACATTGGAGGACATTTCCTTTTTAGTGACAAAAAATGATGTCCGACGCACTGCCCTATTTTGACTTGTACCATACGTTCTCGTATTATTTCAGGTGCAATTGACTTGCCTTTGCGTGTGTTTGTGACGGGCTCACCTTTTCGCGAGCACGTGGTGTCTACAATGTTTGATAGTGATTCATAGGCACATGCTATAGTCCGAGTCGAGCAGTCGACTCTGCTTTTGGTAGAGATTTCTTATGTATACGGAAAGGGTTTTGTCGCTTTTATTTCACTTAAGTAGGTTTCGAAACGTTTCCACTGTAACATGTCGTCATGTTGAAGTAGAGGTTTTAAAAGCATGGTCCAGATGTGTGTACTTCTGTATGTTAAAGACACAGTTGCCATTATTGTCAACCAATTTTATGACATTATATATACAAACAAAACCAAATACTGCTAACACATCGCAGCAACACATATCTACTAAAAAACGTTAAAAACAAAAACAATTAAAAAGAACATGATTGTAAAATCACGTGAACAAGTATAACATAAAATGAATAATACATCAATACCCGTAACGAAACATCAAGGAACAAGATAACGAAAATCATTGTCATACACAATATCTATATCATATACGTAAGTCTTTGGATGAAATATACGAACGTATAACGAAAATGACAGTATGACCTTAACTTATCACAACAATATATTGCCATATACATCATATCTGATAACGCTGTATGATTAAACAAGTAAATGTGTGCTCATGTTGAAACCGTAGTTCGGCACATCTGTTATACATAGATATTCCTCACCAACACTCATTCTTTTCATATTGCAGTGTACGTGTCATCGTTAACAAGCTCAACACGTACATGCATATTCAAGTTTTGATGAAAAGTCACCTTGTGCTCCAGCATGTTGTCTCGGTTGCAATACATGACTTGACAATTGATCACACAACACAATGAAGACTAGAAGTAGCTCCTGACACACCCTGTAATGGGCGTCCGGCAGATCGGACAGTCGGACATGGCCATAGAGCAGGGACCACAACACGCCAGGTGACCACATGGCAGGAACGTCACCCTCAGCTGATTCTCCATACAGACTTTACACAGATACCGCTCTCTCATGTGAACATTCTCGTCTTGAACCGTTCTCACGAGGTCAACATTTTGTGTCATATCCGATAGTGTTTGACTTGAAATCTGGCCCCTGTCAGATGATGAATGACTTCCGGTGTCATTTACGTTGTTTGTTGTAATTCCTGTTCCTTCTCCTATTTCTAGAACAGCAATGGCGAGCTCTTGTGCGGAAACTGAATCACAACATCGTTCTGTGTGCCACTTGTGTACAACAGTTCTCACGAGATCTGACGTAAATCCCATCTTGAGAACAGCCTGAACAGCATCAGTCATCATGAGTTGCGTTACTTTGTCAACGGTTGTATTAACCTCGTCAGAAGAGTTTGATATCATGACTGCTTCCCCATTTTCTTTGCTGAAAATATTTATACATTTAAAATCAAATTGAGTGAAAAGTCTTATTCCAGTCTTTATTTTGGATCAGCATCTGTTAACGACACCATTACAAATATTTAAACTATATAACGTGTCGTTTATGCATGCAGTCATACACTTATTCAGGGCCATGGACGCGAGGGAAAACAGATACATATTTTGACGTCATCACCCATCATAATATTTACATCGTGACTGCAAACATGCAAGTTTTATTTACATCGCAGGGAGGTGGGGTAGCCTAGTAGTTTAAGCGCTGGCTCGTCACGCCGAAGACCTGAGTTCGATTCCCCAAATGGGTTCAATGAGTGAAGCCCATTTTCCGATGTCCCCCGTCGTGATATTGCTGGAATATTGTTCAAAACGGCGTAAAACAATACTCACTCACTATTTACATCGTTCGTTGGCAGGGGTGTAATCAGGGTTCGAACAAGCATCAAGGTATGATTCCACTCTCAGCAGGAAAAGTTTCCATTACTGTTTCGAGTTCGACATGTATGTGTGTTGAACAATGTTGAAAATAGTGAGAGTGAGAGTGAGAGTGAGTTGGATTTAACGCCGCTTAAACATTATCAGTGTCATATGGGAGGAGAAAGTCTTAGACGCGTACTACCCTGGTGAAACCCACGGGCACGTTTAGGTTGGTGCCAAATCTAGAAATATATACAGGAAAACAAGCTGTGAGTAATGTTATATATCAACCTACCTTGTGGCACCGTTCTGTTGGCACAGTAGATCATTGATGACATCTTCCCCAATACACAGCTTTATATAGGGGCAAGTCGGGAAACACTTTGCATGCTCAATCCAGGGGTCGTCTCCACAGGCCCAGTTGTATACTTTCCCTCGACAATAACCACACTTCACGCGGTCTGGCTTCTCCTCGCATGGTATATGGTAGAACCCTGCTCGCGCAAGGGCTTCCGGGGTTTGAGACACATTTCGCGGCCATCTTGAAAATGATTTAAGTCTCAATTCCTCTCGTGTATAGTCACAGCCGCCTTCAACCCCTTGGGTTTGGGCAGATCTACGAGAAACAGGTGTGTTCTGTACACTTTCTGCTATAGGTATGTTACCATCATCATCCCCCTGGATGAATTTACAGTAAGGAAAATGCTTCATATGTTCCAATAAAGGAAGATCATTTGTGTGCCATTGTTTTAAAATACCAAAACAAAAGGGGCACTCGACCCGATCACCTGTTCCTGTGTAATAGAATCCAGCTTGGGCTAAAATTGCAGGATTTTGGGTCGCCCACACTGGCCAGAGTTTGAATGAGTTTAGTCTCTTTACCTCTGATTTCATTATAGCTTGATGTGCCATTGCTTGGCAGTCGTCATCAAGACAGTCGCTTCTATCGGGACCGCTGGTCGGTGTTAAAGCATACCCCGAGTGGAGTCCACACGATCTTGCCATAACAGCTGTCATTTTGCTTATTCAGTAAGTGAATTGATTCCCATTCAGTTCACACGAGTTGTAAGCCTCACTGTAACACTTCGCTTATATGTCCTATTTTGAAGTTATTTATAGACGAATAGGAAGTCCTCTAGTTTCGTCATCAACATAAAATCCAGGGGAACTCCGAAATTCCCGTTTCACTCCCGTGAATATATTTATGGTTACAATTAATATCTATAATACGGAAAATGTTACCACACATTTTCAGTTATCAGTAGTAATTAATGTCGGCATAAGCACGTGACCTTATAAGACAATATACGAGTCCCGAGATCGTCTTCCGTGTACTATATTCATACGTGGGTGACACTGTTAAAAGGCCAGTCACTGTGTCTACAGCGGAGTCACTATCCTTTACAATATGTGTATTTAAGTCGTATGCGGTTCTATTTTGGAGTAGGTAGGTGTATCAGCAACGTCATCTAGTGAAGGGTGTTCCGCAATCAGCAGGATGTAAGATTATTTTATTTACTATATCGAACGCGGCACACATGTGTAGTTTGGGGGATATCCCCGTGCGATGTTCTGTCTGCTCACTAGTAAGATAAGACAGTTGAATTAACAACGAGAGCTGTTTTGGATAATACATTATACATGGAATTCGTATGTGTATTTACTGTAAATGTAAATCTAGACCAGGTATTGCATTAAATTCACTCCTTAAAATTAGGGGTGAAGGTAAGGTGGAATGGGGTTTAACGTCGCGTCGTAGATTATTGCACGTATATAGCATGTACGTGTGTGTGTTTGTGTGGCTGCTTGTACTAGTCCGGACTGATGCCGATCTATAGTGCTAACCTACTGAGATACAATGCCGCATTTTAACATGAATTATCCCACTCAGACACAGTATACTGACTCTGAGCCGACCAGTCCTTGTTTTAGCCCTTAATGCCGAGCGCCAGAGCGCCAGAGCGCCAGAGCGCCAGACAGGGTAACAACAAGTACCATTTTGGCTGGGAATATGTATCACATCACTCGAGTTCATTTCAACCAATTAGAGGAAGATCTATTGTCTCGATAAAACTAAAATATTCATATTTATGACAAATAAATCTTTAACACTAATCGTCGTAATTATGTCACATTGTGAGTAATAACTACTGTATTAACGTAACAGACAAATAAATATATCTAAGAGATCCTCCCTCAGTTCCGCAATGTTGTTGAGAAGCCCATGCTATGTGGAAAGCCTTGTTGATAAGATCATGTGTTCCCTGTCGGATTTAAATATGTATGAATTGGAAGCTAAGAATCAACACGGCAGTGATTCTCATTGCCAACTAATACCTTTAGTGACAGCGGTATGGGATATACACTTATCAATGTACCATGAGACGTCATAAACCGCAACTGTAATTTTATCAACGAAGACACCAAGGTGACGTATAACACACTTCCTGTTGAAATATCCTTCCTGTTTTATTCACTGATATTTTAATAGAAATGTAACTTATTATTAAGCAGCTAAAAATTATTTTAAATTTACCAATTAATTAATAATCAGTTTTTAAATACACGCAACACCATGATTTCGACGTTAAAGGATATTTCTGAGGAGTGTATTTCCGTGAAAATCAAAATTTCTCACACAAAAGTATTGACTGTAGAATACTGTAAAATCTATCGCTGTTTTCTTGCGTCTTATTAGAAGCCAATCTGTCTTTAATGCTCTGTTCCTATATTTACTAAGGCCGATCAAACATGGTTAACAGTAGATGATATTTGTTCTAGTATATGAGATGGTGTTTCACATTGATTTACGATCGAAGACTCTTTTGACATTGTAACTGACTTCACCTTATGCGCAAGCTGTCGGAGTTTGTTAAGTTTTGTCTTAAATACGGTATGGTCTTAAAGGTACCGTTGATGTTTGTTAAGTGTTGTCTTAAATACGGTATGGTCTTAAAGGTACCGATGATGTTTGTTAAGTGTTGTCTTAAATACGGTATGGTCTTAAAGGTACCGATGATGTTTGTTAAGTGTTGTCTTAAATACGGTATGGTCTTAAAGGTACAGTCTCATCGGTGTAGTGGACAGGACGTGTGCCCGGAATAAGTCCAAACTGGCACAAACAGCCATACACACACGTGCAAGCACGTCATATTGTAACCACTAATTTTAGTTCGTAATAACCGTAGTTCGTTATAAGCATATATACAGCATATAAACAACAAATGGCCGGGACTAAAATACGTTCGTCATATCTGTCAGTTCGTTATAAGCGTGTTCGTTATAAACGTAGTACTGTACGTGCAATAACGTGACGTAAGTCCCATTTGACCTACCCTTGAGTACCTTACCTTGTTTTGTCGTTCTGCCGAGAACACAAAGTTTGTGTGTTGGTTGTATTCTCAACTAACTGATGTATATTACATGTATTATAACTTTAGTACGAAACGTAACGCTAGTAATTGATTGTGCGTGTGTTGCCTAATTTGGCTTTTAAACTAAACAGTAAACCAGAGAGGGGCACTTATAGAAAGGGCTTTACACATTGTCACAACCATTATACACTTCGTGGTTCAACTGATACATCGTCAGTAGTCACACAGAAGAAAACCGTAATGCAGCTTCCTTCCTCTTCCGTCATGAGTGTGACGGAGATCCGGGCAAAGCAGGATGCTGTTTTTTCACTCCCACTAACATTTGTCAACAACGTCCGTGTGTGTGTGTGTGTGTGTGAGAGAGAGAGAGAGAGAGAGAGAGAGAGAGAGAGAGAGAGAGAGAGAGAGAGGGAGAGCGAGAGACTGAGAAAGGGGAGACAGGAAGAGAGCGGGAGTGAGAGAGAGAGAGAGAAAGAATTATAGATAGAACGAGAGATATAGAGAGAAGTGACAGAGACACAGAGAGAGGTGAAAGAGAGAAAGAAAGAGAGAGAGAGAGAGAGAGATTATGATATAATTAATATAATTGTACAATGGATAATGCTATTAGCTGAGATTACTTATGATCAAGAAAACATTTTTGTTAACGCATACCGTTGTGTAAATCGAATGTTACATCACAGTAAATAAAGAGAGAGAGAGAGAGAGAGAGAGAGAGGGAGAGAGAGAGACGGAGAGACGGGGACAGACAGATCGAAAGGGAGAAGGTGAAAGAGAGAGTCAGAGATAGAAAGACAGAACCAGAGAGAGGAGGCAGACAATAAGAGGTGAAAGAGAGAGAGATTGAGAGAGGGGGGAGTGATTCAAAAGCATACGTCTTGGAGACAAGTAATTACTTACTTAAAGGAGGGGATGGGTCCTTAGACGATTATCTGATCTTACCTATTATAAGTATATAACTACTATACATCCATGGACGTATCATTTAGTACAGCTGTAGAGCAAGGCTATGGGCGGCCCTATCACACAGAGTGCTCTACTCAGAATCAACCGTCTCGCGGTAAATGTGGGTCACATCAATACAGGCGAAGACACTCGGGTCCGACAGACACCTGCTGCGTTCGTGGAAAGAAGGGAGGTAACTCATGCGGCCCTCTGCGTGTTGTACGGGTTGACAATTAGAATGGGTCCACATGAGCAACACCGATATAATATAAGCTTCAATAATCTATAGTGAGTTGAATTGTCTCAATCTTCTTCATGAAGATGATCCGTTTGTTTATAGACTGTTGCTTCAACTCTTAAACGGGTTCGGTATTTAAGGCCCCATGGCCTATTGTAACGGTAACATTTCAGTTTCATTTGTTTAGTCACCTGATATACATAAAACTATCTGACAGAGATATATGCTAACAATATGACACATGAGCGTATAAAATCAAAGCTTAAGTTCTATATAAGACTGATCATTAACTTCTTGATCTTTATGTATATTGTTAAACTTCGGAATATACTTTTCTCTAAGATGTTCATACTTATCACATACTAATAAAACAAATAAAATTCGTCCTCAATCTCTCCTAATGGGCAATTTTCTCAGAAACTCATTTCAACTCTCATTTACATCGAAAATGAAAATAAAGCCTTAACAAGCGAATTATCATCTAACGTACTTACATGTTTCTCTGGTTCTATATGGACTGTCTAGTGTTAGGGGTACGATCCTCGGCCGTCTCACACCAAAAGAAGTTAAAAGGTAGAACTTGTTGTTACCCTGCTTGGCGCTCGGCATTAAGAGCTGAAACAAGGGTTTGTCGACTGGGAGTCAGTGTTCTGTGTCGGAGTGGGGCATTCGTGTTAAACTGTGGCATGGTATCTAATTGGGCTAGCATTACAATATCGGCATTAATCCGGACTAGTACAAGCAGCCACACACACGCACACACACACACACACACACACACACACACACACACGCACGCACGCACGCACGCACGCACGGACGCACACACACACACACACACACACGCACACACACACGTGCCTGCACATCGCAATATAAGTGCAATAATCTTGAACGCTACGTTAAACCCCATTTCACCTCACCTTACCTCTTGTTCTATAGCAGATTTGTTATCATTGGAATGGCTGTGACAGTTGTGACAATACCTTTGTCATGCGATGTCCTGTAACCTTTGTTTGATAAGAATTGTGTCCCCCACACCTTGTATTATAGGCGGTTGCGAAGCAAATACGGTGGTCTAGCAAGGACATTGAAACATTTTCGCAGTCAGTGTCCTTCTTATATAAAAAAGTGTTGTTACAGTATTACTCGTTTTCTTTTGGAATTCTACAAGTTTTTGTTTAATTTGCTTCAGCAAATGATTAGACATATACTCATCTACAAAACTACTGAAAAATAAAACAGAACTATGTGTCTTAAAAGAACGTAATGTCAAACAAAAAACAAATGAAAACATTTAATATAGATCATGAAATCTCTTGACAACCAAACACGAACACAGAAAACGTTGTGTATCATCCAAAACTTGCTCCCGTAGGAAATATGCCGTGGGGGATATCAAGCATCACGATGCTTTGCAGACCATTGTGACGGCAAGTCTCGGAGTTGTTCCACTTTTATCAACTCGTGTTGATATATTTGATATCTAAAGACACTCGAGTGAGCTTCTCTATATAGTCAAATCAGAAACAGAAAATAATGGAAACTCAAAATACAC